TAGCTTCCACAAAACACCAACATGTTTGATTTCAGAAGTGCTTTGGCTTGGGCCTCCACTAAAGCCTTTTGGTGCACAATGCAAAAGGTTAAGGGTGTGTATGCATGTGTGTGTGTGGGAATTCAATTAAAGGAGAGAGACCAATACAATTTAAAAAAGGGATTTTTACTTCTCTGAAGATTATTGGAATATCACAATAAACCCAGATACTCAAGGAAAAGAAGGGTTGTAACCATATGACACGGTCCCTTGAACTAAAGTAATTCTCCCCTTACCTTCGTAGTTTTACCTCATTCCAGTACAGCTGATTTTTTTTTTTGAGATGAGAAAAAGTCTTGTGCCTTATGCCAAGCCAGTTTGCTTTACATGCAGACAAAGGAAAAAGTTTGATCAACAACGACATTACACGTCATTATACGTTGTAAATCCTCATGTGCTCTCTTCAGGATTATCACTATATATTGTTGGACACCACACATTGTGAAACATCATCGCAAAATGAAATCAGATCACTAATTCATGGAATTTTATTTTAATCTGTACTGCAGAGTAACAATGTCATTCTTAAGAAGGGAGCTACTTAATTTGGTTTTAAGTGGATTCTTCTTTATATGCCACCAGGATAAACACAGACTTCACATGAAAGCATTTAATCTCTCTTCCTCATAACCCTGGATAATCAAGGGTGGGTGTAGACTGAAGCCGGATAGAGATGCTGTGAAGTCTGCGGCTGTGACCTTTCCGCCTCACATCTGAGAGCGCACATTGTGCAGCAGACAGTGCTAACGAAGACTGCCCTTTCCTGATTTACTCGTGCCTCGCAGTCCCTGCTACGGTATATTGCATAATCTGGGATAACGTAAAAATGATTGGCAGTGCAGAAGATGAAATAAGCCTTCCTCCTTCCTTCCTCATCTTCCTCTCGGATAGGCTGCTTGAATTGCTTTTGGTTTGGGATGACCCTTGTTCCAAGTGATTTTTGCACCAAAAGAAATGCAAAGAGCTTTTTACAGCTGCTGGTCGTAGACCACGTGTGTGGAGTCCTCAGATATCCATCAACAGGACCATTTTTACGGTGTTGCCTAGTCCCCATTATCTTCACACACTAAGCAAGTTTGAGCCATTTCAGATCGAGTGATTTAACAAGGTCTTGTGTTAGAATTTTTTTTTTAATGAAAAGTGCTATCATGCCTTTGCCATTTATATGTGAAGAAATATCCTGAACTGCTTTGGCTGCCAGTTGTCTCTTTGCAAAGTAATCTTTGTGCTACACATGTGGTGGCAAATGTTTCTGTAATGCAGTCCCTGGCTCCTTTAATTATGGCTTATTGCCCCATGAAGGATAAAAAGCAACTAAAGCTCTTGAATATACTCAATTAATGACAGCTATATATGTACATATTACTTTAGCAGTGCTGTAATGGAGTCTGGTATGCCGAATAAAGGTCCACAATTTTCTAAAAATACACTTCTGTAACTTTGAAAGAGACACAGGTGGAAGTTTACCAGGAGAAAACAGGCTTGGGTGATAGCTTGTGGCTGACCAATGGTAAAACCCAATTTCTGAGAAATTCTCTGTTGCTTATAAATCAGGCATGAGACAAACCTTCTTCCCTTGAGATGATGGCCAAGTTTTTGCCCTGGATATAGATGCAGCTTCTTAACGATGATAGAATGTATTTACAGCCTGAAAGATACCTGCTATTTTTAATAATGCCTCTCAACAAGCAAATAATAGAAATTTTTGTTTATATTAGAAAATGTTGGTACGTCTGTGTGTATGTGGGGGTGTGTGTGTCCATGCACGTGAATGTAGCCCTTGCACAATCTGTGTGTGTGGCCACGATAGGTGGTATTCTAGTCCTGTCATTAATTAAGTCCTGCTCACCCTAACACGGAAGCCCCAGGGTGTGCGCCCATCAACCTTTCTAAAACTGGAGCACTAGATTACAACACTGACACACCTAAGCAAGGCACTGACATTAACCTCGTGCTAGATTTAAATCATTTCAGGCAGTCTGTTTTGAATTTCCAAATGTGCCGTACTGTTCTAATGAGTTAATTCCTTTGGTATCCATTTCCTCCTGTCAGCTGCTTTTGGGAAATAAATTGTGCATTGTTATCTTAGCCTTGTCTATCCTATTAACGGTTTAGGAAATGCAGCTGAAGATTATCTGAAGTTTTCTATGGCAGAGGTTGACCTGCGGCAACGGGACAACGATCAATCACTTCTTGAAGGAGTCACAAACTGCAAAATGCTTATTCATTTTATTTTCTGTCTGCAGCATTGTATTTAAAAAATGTTTTCCACCATTCATGCAGAGGGGTAAAACCAAAAGTGTAATCTCAAGAATTTTATAAAAAAGTCCGTTTCAGTGCATAAATGTCATCCACCCAATGAAGGTGGATATACTAATATACCACAAATTCCACATTTACCAGCAGCACATTGGAAGTCTTCTCTATTCCCTTCTTGTTTGGTTGTAGTGATTAAATTGACAATACCATGACAATTTGCATGTGCTTTCATAGTGCTGGCATTAGGCTAGGTGTGGCGTGGGGATGGATGTAGTGCTTCCACCCCACAGAATCTGCCAGCGCTGGACTCACAAAAGAGTGTTGTCCAGAAGGACCCTTGGGTTACCCTGAACACTGCTCTCACTTGGCTCCACGGCGCAGCCTTCACCTGCGACTTGTCGAGACCTGTCCCCTGCTTCCCAATACGATGTTAAAGATGGCAGTACCTGTATCCTTTAATTCATTCTGGTGGGAGGCACTACTGTTAACTGGATCTGCCTGAGTTTAGAAAACACAGCTAGCTGGGGTGCCTCTGATTCCTCCTTAAGAGCTGAAAAAACTCCCACAAGAGACAGCTCCTGTCTATTAATTTATTAATTGGCAGCAGTAGCCTTCCCTGCTCTTTCCAATCCCTCCACCACTTCCAGAAACTCCCATTTTTGCTTTACACATCTTCCTCAGTCTCCCAGCAAGTATTTCAAGCCTGGTATCCTATGACTATTCCAGCAACTAATTTTTAGAAATGGCTAGACATCTTTGATCCCTGGTGCTCTGGCTGTGTTGCCCGTGTCAGCTTTTTGCGCTGTGCTGTGTGCTAATCCCACTGCAGCACACGGTATAGCATTGATTGTGCCCATACTCTCCCTTCTCTCCAACCACAATTAGTTCATCTCAAAATATCTGTACTGCTCAGAGGCTCTAGATCTGACGTGAGGGTTCATAGATTAATTTAGCACAACTAGTTTGCCTTGGGATTTAAACAAGCTACTAATTTAACAGCCCTGAATCTTTCTGCCTGTCCCTGTGCTGAAGTCCTATGCTTCCCATAGGATCTGCGGGAATAAGGAGTATATAAAAAGAAGCATGAAATTCTTAGCCTTTCAGCCCTTCATTTCCCTGTGACTTTCAGACAGTTCTGACTTGCACGCCAGAGAGACTCAGAGGTATTTTTTATGAGAAACAGATTGAATGCGCTGGTTTTCATTGATCTCGGTGCAAGTGAAGTTCACCTCTCTGAAGAAATCTCCGAAGAGTCTAACGCATGGTGCCTGGTGTAGTCAGGACCTTGTACTCGAGTCTGTTCTTTCCTGTGCTTCCATTCTCCTCAGCAGGTGGTGGAAAGACCTCTTTATTTTTCCTTATTATGTTTTTAAAGGTTTCAAATCATTTTGACCATTCTAGCCCTACTTTAACTTAAGCCACCAAAGCGGAGCCCTGAGGTGGCCTTTAATCCTGAACTGAGAGCTGGGTGGGAGCAGAAGCTGCTTACATGATAGTGGGGAAATCCGTTCTCCAAGGAATTTTCTACAGCTGTATGTGGCATTGCCTGACCACAGTCCTCACCAGCACTGCAGTCATGCACAAATCTGAGCTGGGCCGAACAACTTGCACCCTGCGCACATCTGAATTTCCATTTTCCCAGAGTGTTTCTCAGTGCGTGTTAAAAACCCCTCCCTCGGAGGTGCTGGCAACTCTTGGGTGGCCCCGCGGGCCTTGGGTGGGCTGCATGTGCCTGGCTTTCTGCTGGTGTTCATGGGTAGCTCATATTTTCCTTGATGTTGAAGAGCTGCAGCTGCACATCTGCAAGATACTCCAGGGAGAAACAGACCACAGTTTGATTTTTGTAAATAGCCTCTCAAATCCAAGATTTGTGAAAGAAAATGCTGTCAAAGCTTTTACATAAATTCTATCCTTATTTTTATAACTTAGTTCAATTTAAAAAAAAAAAAAAAGTGTGCCTGTATTCTCTGTAACATAAATTAGTGCAGTCCCACTGAAGTCTGTGGAATTGCATCAAAAATTCCAGCATAGAATTTGGCCCATGAAGGGAAAAGAAGCCTCAATAATACTATGCTCTCAACATGAACATTCATTTTCCTTATTGCCTGCACCAAGAGATCATTTTCTCTAGTCATAACTCCAAGTGGAATTTTTACTATCAAGAATATTGCTTTTAAATAGAAAAATAAAAAGTAAACTATGATAATTTTCAATAACTGTACTACTATAGCCTTGATTTTCAAGGAAAAACATTATCAAACTCAATTTCAGATAGCGTTCTATTATGTGCAAACCACTGTTGATATAGTAACTTCTATTTTAGGTTGCTAGTAAAGAGAAGAACAATGTGACCCATTTAAAAACTGGCTCACAGAAAAATATTAGCAAGCCATTTATCATTTCTGTTTAATTTTGTTGATAAGAACCATTTGATAGAAACATTTCTTCATTACAAAACTAACAGCAGCATAGGGCGTATTTGACCATAACACGTGCACTTTGCAATGTTACTGAGAAATGGACTTTCTGTTTGTTGCCAATGGTTTGGAAAAGAAATAAAAAAAGGGAAAATGCTCACCTTTGAATTCTTCAATAGACAGAACCTACATTTTTAGAAATCTCTGATTAATGGACAAATCCCACTCACACAACTGGAATGCTGCAATGGCTGGATACAGGCTCTTTGGGAAGGACAGGACGGGATGGTGAGGAGGGACAGTTGCCCTGTATTTGAGAGAGAAGCAGGATGCATGGAGCTCTGCCACGAGGCAGCTGAGAGCTTATGGGTCTGGGCTGGCCGGCAGACCGATGTGGATGACATTGGTGTGGGTGTCTGCTACAGACTGCCTGACCAGGTAGAATAAGCAGATCAGGCCTCCTTCAGACGACCAACAGGAATTTCATGTTCACTGGCCCAGGTCCTCACACGAGCCTTTAACAACCCTGATATCTTTTGGAGGGGTAACACAGCAGGGCAAAAGCAATCCAGGAGGTTTCTGGAGTGCACTGATGACAATTTCTGGACACAGGTGATTGAGGAGATGAAGAGGGGAGATGCTCTGCAGGACCTGATGTTTACAAACAAAGAAGAACTGGTTGGAAATGTGAAGGTCAGGGGCAGCCCTGGCCACCTTGACCATGAGATGGTAGAGATCAGGATCCTGAGAGAATGCAAATAGCAGGTTAAGAACCCTGGATATCAGGAAAGCAAACATTGGCCTGTTCAGGGGCCTGCTTGGAAGAATCCCATGTGAGACCATCTTAAAGAAGAGAGGAGGAGACCAGGAAAGCTGGCTGATTTTCAAGGATCACCTCCAGACTCAAGAATGGTCCATCCCCACATGCCGGAAGTCAAGCAAAGGTGGCAGGAGGCTTGCATAGGTGAACAAGAAGCTCTTGACAAAACTCAAAGATAGAAAAAGAAATATTCAAGAGGTGGAAGTAAGGTTCGGTGATATAGGAGAAATATAAAGACATTGCCCAAGGATGCAGGGATCCAGTTAGGAAAGTCAAAGCCTGCCTGGAGTTTAATCTGGTGAGGGATGTGAAGGGCAACAAACGAGGTTTCTATGGGTACATCAGCAGCAAAAGGGAGACTAGGGACAATGTGTGCCCACTGCTGAATGAGTCAGGGGACCTGGTGACAGAGGACACAGAAAAGGTCAATGTGCTCAATGCCTTTTTCTCATTGGTCTTTACTGGTAAGACTGAACTTCAGGAATCCCAGGCCCCTGCAACCCACAGAAACATCTGGAACAAGGAAGAATTACCATTGTTGGAGGAGGACCAGGTTAGGGAACACTTAAACAACTTGGATACACACAAGTCCATTGGACCTGATGGGATGCAATGACAAGTGCTGAGGGAGCTATCCGATCCCACTGCAAGGCCACTCCCAATAATCTTTGAAAGGCCATGGCAATCGGGGAAGTTTCCTGAGGACTGGAAGAAAGCAAATGCCATTCCTTTCTTCAAGAAGGGACTACAAGCCAGTCAGTCTCACCTCAGTCCTTGGGGAGGAGATGGAGCAAATAATCCTGGATGCCACTTGCAAACACATGAAGTAGAAGAGGTGATTAGGAGTAGTCAGAATGGGTCTAGGAAGGGAAAATGATTCTTGACCAACCTGGTAGCCTTCTATGACAAAATGACTAGTCTGGTGCATGAGGAGAGCAGTGGATGTTGTTCATCTTGAGTTTAGCAAGGTTTTTGACACTGTCTGCTGTAACATCTTCACTGGCAAACTGACGAAGTTCAGACTAGGTAAAAGGACAGTGACCTGGGCTGAAAATTGGCTGAACTGCTGGGCTGAAAGGATTGTGATCAGCCACACAAAGTCCATTTGGAGGCCAATCACCAGAGATATACACTGGGGGTTGGTACTGGAGCCAACACTGTTTAACATCTTCATAAATTACCTAGATGGTGGGACAGAGTGCACCCTCAGTAGGTTTGCAGATGATACAAAACAGGGGGGAGTGACTGCTTCACCAGATGTTTGTGCTGCCATCCAGAGAGACCTCAACAGGCTGGAGAAATGGGCTGACAGGAACCTCATGTTCAATAAAGGGAAATGCGAAGTTCTGCCCCTGGAGAGGAACAACCCCAGGTACCAGGCGGTGGGGTCAACCAGCTGGAGAGCGTCTTTAAAAAAAGGACCTGGGGCTCCTGGTGGACACCAGGTTGAACATGAGCCAGAAATGCACCCATGTGATGAAGAAGGCCAACAGCCTTCTGGGCTGCATTAGGCGGAGTGTTGCCAGCAGGTTGAGGGAGATGACCCTGTCCCTCTACTCAGCACTAATGAGGCCACACCTGGAGTACTGTGTCCAGTTCTGGGCTCCCCAGTACAAGAGAGACATAGACATACTGGAGAGAGTCCAGCATAGGGACATGAAGATGATTAGGAGACTAGAGCATCCCTCCTATGAGGAAAGGCTGACAGCTGGACTGTTCAGCCAGAAGAGAAGGCTCAGAAGGATCTCATCAGTGTGAATAAATACCAGATGGAGGCAAGTAGAGAGGATGGAGCCAGGCTCTTCTCAGTGGTGCCCTGTGACAGGACAAGAGGCAATAGGACAACTGAAATACAGGAAATTCCACTTAAACATTAGAAAAAAAAACTTTTTTACTCTGGAGGTGGTTAAACACTGGCACAGGTTGCCCAGAGAGGTGGTGGAGTCTCCATCATTGGAGCTACTCAAAACCCAGCGGGACATGGCCTTGAGCAATCTCGAGTAAGGTCGGCTAAAGACCCTGCTTTGACAAGGGCATTTGGACTAGATGATTCCTAGAGGTGCTCTCCAACCTCAGCCATTCTGCAAAATCATTGCTTATATAATTCTAAAAATTATATAATTAAAAGCTTCTTTCTCTGTAGGAAGCCCCATGTTATAGGCGTGGATACAATCATGCTTTGCTGCTCTTAAGTTCTAGTAGAAAGAATTCCCGTATAAACCTGTGGGATGTATGTGCATGCAGGATCCTGACGTCCAAACGGACAGCAAGGACCTTTTGGCACCGGATTCTGGAGAAGATGGTGGATGCTTTGCTGCTCCTCACCAGCTGCAGTCCTTAGGGGCTGGGCTGTCCCATCCCCAGGTAAGGAGCACAGTGAGCATCATGACCGGTGTGCTGGAGAGGAGAAGCGAGCTGCTGGTGGGGGACAGCTTGCTGTCCTGGCACTGCGGCAGCTGGGGAGCCTTTCTCTCAAGGAGAACCTGCAGCTGATTTTTCCAGCCTACTTTCTAGACCTTTTGTGCTGATCCCACAAAGCACAAAGGGAATAGAGCAGAGCTGGGAATATGTGTGAAAAAATATCTCCCCCAGCCTTTTAGGTACTGAACAGAAGGAATATGTAACAGTGTGACTTTTGCACCAATTCCACAGAGATAAAACCCCTTCTGAAAGCAGTTTTTGGTTGTTCAGGAAAACTCATTTTCTTCCCATGTTTGAATTAGACCAGGTAATTTTATTTTTTCTTCAGCTTTCTATTATTGTTATGATTATTATCATCAATGAATTATTTTGAACATCAAGCATATGAAGCAAACTATACTTTTTTTTACTTCATCCTTTTAATAGTAAGTTTTGGCCTGCATTTGTAATAAATGAGGAACCACCACTTACTCTGTTTAGGATTAATGCATTCATGAATCTTATTTTCAGTGGCTATGAGGGAAAGACAACATTTTAAAGCAAATTGAGGTAGTTGATATTTTCCCTAATGCATTTTTAATGTATGAGACCAGAAAAGCATTCTGTGCTCTGCAATGCAATTTGACATCAAAAAAATTAAAAAACAGAGAAAGATAAAAGCAAGCTAACAGAACGTATGGAAGAGGGAAAGATTCAGCCATGCTATTAGTCTCCAGTTAGATAATTTCATTGGGATTTCCAGCATACGATGAATGAACATGATAACTGGTGGGGGGATGAGGATGTTGTGATATTAATAAGAATGTAATTCCATCTGAAATTGTCCTGTGATTTATAGCTAATAATATTACTAAAATGAGGATAATGAAGGCGATCAATCCTATATAATCTTTTTTTGTAAATCTGATTCTCAAAGCATTTCTGATAGAAAAAGGACACATTTGTCTTCTCCTCCCAGCAATCCCTGCTGACATGAGAAGTCCCACTGAAATCAATTGACAAGCAGTCTGGGGAGTAAATAAAACTCTGTGGATCCAGTTCTGTTCTGCCTTGCTTCTGTAGTTCCTCTCTCATGACACTGTCCTTAAAGCCACATTGTCTTTGAGTAAGAAAACTGCTACAGTGCATCTGGAGCGCAGTTATAGATCTTACTGCTGTACTAATAAACTCTAGCTGCTGTGAAAGTTACCTTTGTCTTGCTGACTTGAGTACTGATCACAAAGGCTTTTTCTGTGCTATACCAGTCTTCCCAGACCTTTGGGTATTTACGCAATTAGCTGGTCTGCACTGCACCCCACGCTGCTTGATTTCACTGGTATTAGTGCTGGAGTAAACTAAAGTTAAGCAAGCTTCATTGCATTTACCCATGCTGTAGGAACACCACAGACTGCAGTGTTTCTCCACTTTTTACTGTCATCTTTTCCCACTCCAACCTGTCTTCATCTAAATAACCGAAATCCATCTTCAGTGAGATTTGGCAGATCCCTGCAAAACTTACAGAAATGGGCATTTTTCCTCCTTTTTGTTCTCCTTGCCTGTTTCCAGTATAGTTTCATTTCCCATTTTCCTGAGAAGGGAGAATGTGATTTAGAATATGTATCTTTATAGCATTTGGAAGAACGCCTGTTTCTTCAGAGATATGTCATGGGGTATATTATAAGAACACAGACATTTAAGAAACACTGGAAGCACTTTTACTTTGCTTTGCTTCGCTTCAAGTACAGAACTCATAGTTGTCGTTACGAGGGAATGTCTACAATAAAATTACTAACTCTGTGAATAATTTTGTGGATACTAATATGTGACCACTATTCTTGGCAGAATGTGAAGAGAAGCTGCCACACATATTTATCTCCTGAAGCCCAACACCTTCCTCTCTAGGATTCTGGAAATGGGCAGTCTAGCAGAGGTTGCTGTCTCCGTCACCATGTTAATTTAAGTCAACGGCAGTAACCTTTTTGATGTCAGTGAGGCAGGATAAGATCTTGTGTAAACAGCCAGCGCTCACATCTTTCCTCATCTCAAGAACCTTGCTGATACCTGATTTAACACCTTATATGTCCACCTCACCCAAACACACATGTAGGCACAGATATGTGACAGCAAGGAGGTATGATGGTGAAGAAAAGGATGTGAATATAAAGTTGGATTAAAGGTATGGTGTTATGGACAAGATCATACCACCTATTTTTCTGTGCCAGGCATTTTTCTGGATCTCAGTTCCAAGCAGCTGCTGAGGTTAGTGTTATGAAGCACAGGAGATTATTGGCAAAAATGTATTTGAAATATCAGATGCTTGAAATAGCTGAAGCTTGGTGAGAACAGTCTGAGATATGACACGGACCAGAGAAACACCAGCAACACAGCAAACAAGGGCATGGCTACCAGTTTCAAAAGAAAAATAGTTGATTATGTTTTGTCAGAAAACAAAAGATTTTAGTTAGAGTCCTGACTGGTTATTTGTGTTTGAGGTTACTTATGAAAACCATTTACCACAGAGCAGATTAGATCCTAGCACTGTTGTGCTGTCATCACTGTAAATTCATTAATGCTTCACTGAACTGTTCTAATGCCATTAGACTGCCCCATGTCACATGTGTGGTGTCTATGAATGCTCTCTTTGTCTCCCTGCTTAGCATGGAAGGTGAAAGGCACTGGAATTGAACTGATTTTTCAAGCCAAGAATCTTTGCAATCATAAATAAAATTAGTCCCTTCAGCTTAACACTCATTGCCTCCCTTCTCGTGTAGAAACAGATGTCAGCACAAGGAGAAAGCAGGTGCAGAGTGCCTCTTTCAGCTGCTTTTGGAGAAAAGCAGGAGGTGAATAAGTCTCAGGGAGATGTGTTGTACGTATCTTTAGAAAGGCACTTACAACTTCTAAATACATTTCTGCTAATGAGGGTGTGAGACGCCAGCTCTTTGGAAGCTATAGCATGCACTGTTGCACTCTCATCAACTCTGATGGATGCAGTTTGTATGGGAATATAATTTAAACACGAGGATATAAGGAATGATTTATTAAATTACCAGAGAAAGTACTTAGGAAAAAAGGCCTAATACTAGAAAAAATGTCTGCTTTAACTGAATGCTATTAGAGCCACAAAAATTCTTATCAGCTGGAATCCCCCAAATGGATACTCTCCATACATTGCAGCACTGTCTGAATCCTCATATTAATATCCTGAAGTAGTAGTTCTAAAATATTACCATTTGCAATAGTTTCTTAACTCCTGAACGTAAGGAAGGCCACGATCTTATTGTTGCCAATCATATTATTGCCGTTAAGGTGAACAGCGATGTGATCTGAGAGTATGTTATGTTTGGGTGTGTGGTGAGAATTTGAATACTGCCATTTTTCCCCTAGGCAATCCAACTCTCACACAAAACGTTGTCATTTTTCAATAAGGGCAAGATTAGACCCAGTATGATCCATAGTCTCTACAAGATGCCAGACTGAGGTAAGTAGGAAGGAATAAACAGTGCCATAGCCTCTCTTCCCTCTCTTTCCCCATCTATCAAGCTGAGCTGGTTTGATGTCAGTGGAAACACGCTATTCTTTGTAAAGAGCTGGCACAATCTGCCCTCATTAGCAGAGCATGCCCACTTTTATTTGCCACTCTTGCAGTACCTTGTTTTAAACACCACGCCGCAGGGATTTTGTAGAGCCTCTGGGATTTTAACTATGAAAGGAGAAGTTTTTCTTGCAAATTCCTGCAGCTTCCTGGGCTTGATGCACTGCATTACCTGGCATGGATTGCACTTTCCCCGTGACACTGAAAAAGCACTAGCCCTCCTGTCACAGAACAACTTGCTTCAATGCCCTACACTAGCAAAGAAGCTCTGTGATAAACAAGCTTTTAATTTTGTATTTATTTCCACACTTCTGGTTCATAGTTTGCAGCTTGACAAAGCTGTGTGTCAATGACTGTGCCAAAAGCTCAGCCCCGAACAGAGACGCTAAAAGAAGTGTGAGGGTAGGGGAGAAAGTGCTCACTGGAAGCTCACAGAAGAATCGTACTTTTAGAAGCTTTGTAGGTGCTTTGATTTAGTGCCATCAGTCTTATTGCTGCGGGCCTTCTACTTCTTGCTAATGTAGACAACCCAGGAAAAGTCCCAAGAAACTATAAATGATGTCTTTCAACCTCAAAAGTATCTTCTGCCTCCCTGAATTCCAAGGAGGGATCTGCCAAAGGCAAAAACGCGCGGGGACTCATGAGGAGCCTGCCCTTTCATATGATAAGGTCTCTCTGGAACAAACTGTTGTTTAATCAAAGTGTATAGGTAGCCAAATCTCACAGAATGTCAGATTTTCAGCAAAAAGCCCTGCTGGCTCCTTCAATATGACGCCAGCCCAAGCGTGTCAGGTAAAACTGCTGGAGATGGGCCATCTTCTGCAGGAGGGAATACTCGGCACTCAGATGTATGTTAACATACCCAAGACAGAACTTTTCAGTAACAAAATGAGATTTTAAGTGCTAAGCAGGAATAATAATAATAGAATTTAGGAGAATTTCAGTTTGCTATGAGAAATACCGACCCACAGCTGGGAGCCAAAAATAAGCTATTTCAGAGAAAGTGCTTACACACAGTTGAGCAGTTTGGGAAGCAGCACAGGAACATAAATAGCAGAGGACCTTTTCTGCTTACCTGACAGTTGTCTTATTCCCTGAAACCTTCACAATAATCCTTAAGTACTGCACTGTCTCCTGGTGTTCTTCCTCTGCCCCTTTTCCAGATGAAGAGAGGCTGAGCTTATCTGCTTTGCTGATGCCGATACAACAAAGCACGCTATGCTACGAACTAACTCCCTTCCTGTGGAACAAACATTAGGAAGCAGCTGAAGAGATATTTAAGACTCCCATGTTTCAGTGTAAACCAGAAAATGTCTGTTTGCAGATTCTTAAACAGGAAGGTGGAGACTGTGAAATACAAAATCTTATA